GTGCACAGCCCTGGTGCACAGCCCTGGGGCTCCCTCTCAGTGCCCTCAACCCCTATTCCTACTACTTCACAGGGAGCACTTGGGCTAAAAGGCAGCGAAGGCCCCCCTGGCCCGCCAGGTCCTGCGGTAAGTCAAAGTCTTCTATCCCATCCTATCCTTCAGACCTGTTGTTCCGCAGGCAAGGTAGGACACCCTAGAGCTGGGAGGGCGTGCCTAGCTGCTAAGGTCCCCATCAAGTGTGTCAGGAGGACAGGGTAGAGAGTGGGGAGACTATCCCTGAGCCAGCGGCTGGGTTGATAACGTCATAGGAGCACCTTGTATGAGGAGCAGCAGGGCAGTGACAGCTTGGAGATCTACAAGTAACCTGTGTAGGCATGGAGGTGAGGAGGGGGGACTCACACTTAGTGTGGACCTCTCGGGTCAGCACAGAGAGTAGGTACTCGCCTTATGAATCTCAAGGACGTGTCTCTAGGTGGACCACCCGGAACAGATAGGGAAGGGGTCTAACTCTAGCCTGTAGTCCAGGAGCTATTACATGTTGTTTCATGAACTAGCTAATCCCCCACCAGTCCCAAAACCCCAACTGTGAGAGGCTTTAGGACCCTGCACTCCCAGGCCCTTAGCTGTGGCTCGTCCCCACATTGCTTCCTCTGCCATTCAAGCCAGCCTGATGGATGTGTTCAGGTATAAAGTCCAGATGAGTTTGGGAGTAACCTCCCTTAGCTGGGTTCCAGGCTGGGGACATGAGGTGGAAAGAGAAACTACTTTCCCCTTTGGATAGGGTATATGGAGGGCTTGCAGGCTGCGCTGACCTTTCGATGTGACCTTAAGTGTAGCCTGGCTCCCTGTTATCATCAATACCTGTCCCCTCCCAGATCAAGGTCTCCTCTTCTGAGTCTGTGAGCACTTTGTGGGCAGACAGACCCTGCAGGGATGGGTAGGTGCCGGGTCTCCGAAAAAGACCACCAAAGACAGACAAAATAGCACTTGTTCCCAGACATATGGGGAAGAGGGCATGCGTAAGAGGGAAATATGGGAGAAGAAGAGCTAAGCAGGGGCCTAATGACGGCCTCAAATACTAGACCAAACAGTCCGTGCTTGCAGAAAGTCATCTAGGGGCCCCGAGGGCTCTGAAGTGAGCGGAAGTGTGGTGTGACCCAGTGATGCTTCAGTGAGCCTTACCATACAGCTCAGGAGCCTCTAAAGTGAGTCACTCTCCTACTGTGCTTTAGGGTTCTCCAGGAGAGAGAGGACCAGCTGGTGCTGCAGGGCCTATTGGAATTCCAGGGAGACCTGGGCCTCAGGGACCTCCAGGGCCAGCTGGAGAGAAAGGGGTTCCGGTAAGTACCACCTAAGATTGGGGTCCTCTCCCAGGTTTAGTCCTGTACCTCCTACTGTGTTGTCTCCATGGAGACTCTCCTGAGGTAGGAAAACATAGAAGCCATGGAGTCTGATTATCCTATAGGGATAGACCTCTGAGGAGTCCCAGCCAGCTCATCCTGGCCTACCCTGAATGTTGATACCACAGTGGCCTGTCCCCTACAGACCTGTGTTCTGTAGCCACTGTGCCTCCTGGGTAGCTGGACTGTCCGCTGAGTGAATGTCACCTCCCCACTGGCCTCATGACTGGGTTTTTTAGGAGAAAGACAAGTGTTTGGGAATAGGTGGCCCCTTTGTTGATGAGGCCACAGGAGGGAGACACTGTCTGGCAGAGGGTGGCAGGTAGGTCCCCAGATGATGGAACAGCTCCTCTGTGAGGCCTGAATTCACTGGGCACTGAAAGACCTTTAAAGCTAGGACACTGGGCAGGCCTGGGTTTCCATACAGCCCTTCTCTGATCACCCAGCATGGTTCCCTATCCATAGTGGTGCTGAAACCCCCACTTCATGTCTGCAGTTCAGAAGCAGTTTCATGCCCTCCCGTCACCCCTTGTGGGGGTAGATCTCACAGATTTCAGCCCAGATTCCCTATCTCAGTGCTGGAAGGAGCATCAGTGGAGGGTCGGCCCGGATCACCAAGCTGGACACACATGCCCGCTGACTGAAGCAGTGAAGCTCTGTGTTTCATGTGTCCTGCTCTCCTGGGTTCACAAGGAGGAAGAGCATTCAGCTCACATTGGAGCATCAGTACCACAGAGAATCTTTCAACATTGTTCTTGCCAGTTGATAGCACTGTGCCATTTTTAGTCAGGTATCCAGCACGCAGGTCCAGCGGGATTCTGAGTCCAGCACAGAAGCCTTTGGAGGGTCAGGACATGTGACACTTGCAGTCTCAACTGGAGGAACCCACTGGTTCCAGAGACTTAATATTTAAGCAGAAACCTTGCCAGAATGACCCCAAGCAGGGAAAAGCTCACCGTCTCTCAGAATAGCCCCAGCAAGAGGAAAAGATGGAGAGAGGGTCGGTGGCTCTGCAGACTCCCAACCTGCCAGGGAATGCCGGGAGAGGTGCTGCCAAAACCCCGAACCTGCCAGAACTTTCTAGCTTAGGGAGGGCAGGCTGACTTCAAGGGGTGAGGAGTGCGGTGTAGGAAGGACAGGACGGGCTAGCCAGCATCCGTGTCCCTTGCCTGCGGCACACCATTTCTTTCTTTGTGTCGCTGGAAGAAATAAACTCCTAGCTGAGGTGAGAAAATGCTTGTTGCTCTTGGGTGATGGGATTTTGTCAAACCTGAGTGTAGCAAGAACTAGTGAGATCTCTGGAGATGGTGAAGGGAGAAAAGCAAGTCAGAGTTAGGAGGGCAGAAAAGCTGAGGATTTGTATGTGTATATGTCTGTGTGCATGCTTGAGTGTGTGTACATGCATGGCATGCTGTGTGAATGCCATGCATGTGTGTATGCGCATATGCATGTCTGCATGCATTTGTGTATGTGGGGGAGGGAACACACATGTACAAGCTTGTGCATATCCTGTGTGTGAGCATGCCTGTGGACATATGTATCTTATTGTTTGTGCTTTTGTATGTGTGTGTGCACACATGTTATGTGTATGTGTGTATACATGTTTGTGTTTGTGCTGTGTAGACACACGTATGTGCATGTCTGTGTGTGCATACATGTCATGTGTATGTGTGTATGTGCATGTCTCTGTGTGCGTATATGTCATGTGTATGTGTGCATGTGCATGTCTGTGTGTGCATGCATGTCATGTGTATGTGTGTATGTGCACGTGTATGTGTGCATACATGTCATATGTATGTGTATATGCATGCCTGTATCGGCAGGGTGTTCACAAATCATTGAGAGAGTAACAGAGATTGCATAAGCTGCTGCTCAGGTCATCCTGTACCACAGCGTGGTCCCTGCTCACCAGCTCTGAGGAGCCCAAGCAGACTCAGGAACTTAGGTTCACAAGCTCTTCTAATAAGCTTCCTGTCACTTTGACAAATATGTGAGAGAAACCACTTAAATCAAAGGATTTGTTTGGGCTCGTGGTTCCAGAGGTTTTGGTCCATGGTTGGCTCCATTGCTGTGGGTCTGTAATGAGACAGAACATATGGCAGAAGGAATTGCTGGATCAGAGCTGCTCACCTTAGGGCAGCCAGGAAGGCGGTGGGGGGAGGGGAGGTGGATCTTTTTCTCTAGAGGTCCAGCCTCCTTGGATTTCCACAGCACCCCCAGATAGAACCAAGCCCTCACCATTGCATGTTCAAACCACAGCACTAACTGTGCCTCAGTTTCCTCATCTCTAAGGAGTCCTCTAAACAGCTCCCTGTTCACCTTGGAACCACTCAGGCTGGACTCAGTAGGACTGGATTTAATGAGATTTTAACTTCGTGGTATTCTGAGCGTGGCTCTAGTGCAGCAATGGGCAAAATCACCTCCATTCCCCTGGCTGGCATGTTAGAACCACTCCCTCACACCCCCAGCTTTCTGCCCCGGGGTCCTTTTCCAGGGTGAAGAGCGGTGGAGGCATGATGTTCCCAACATCAAGCTGTATTGAGTCTGAATTGCCTGTCTTCTCTAGGGCGAGAAAGGTCCGCAAGGCCCAGCTGGCCGCGATGGCCTCCAAGGTCCCGTGGGGCTCCCTGGTCCAGCTGGCCCCGTGGGTCCTCCTGGAGAAGATGGAGATAAGGTACGGAGAAGTTGGAGTGTGTGTGGCCCATCAGGCAACAAGTATAAGGGCAGTGTTTTAAACAGCATCATATATGATACAGAGGGCTCAGCCGGCAGAGCGATGCTGTGCACTTCGGACCAGGCGCAAGGGGATGATTTTAAAGTAGCACACAAATAAATGGCAACAAATTAGACCTGTAGCATGTGTCGGGAGCCTGGAAAGCACATGACTCCATGGCAGCTTTTCTGTTGCCTGAGATGTGTGCAGGTCATCACCAGAGCTGAAGCCCTTTCAGACGGGGACTGTGTGAGGCTGGATTTAATGAGGTTTTACGCTGTGTATATTTTTAAGTGTCTTCTCTTGAATGATTGAGGCTCTGTTTTTATTGCCCTTTCTGATGCCATTATGGAGGAGCCCGGATTTTATACTTCATTAAGGAGAGACTGTGTGGTTTAGGTCTTCAGCCTTGCTCCCCATTTGTCAGAGCTCTCCGGTGATATTGCTGACTTTCTCACCTCTACACGGAAGACATCTTAGTCTTATGTCTCCATGTCGGGGGGCAGTGCAACGGAAGCACCAGAGAGGATGGTAGACTACCACATCACCATGTGTACTAATACCTTTCCAATAATCTGAGGATCATAAAGGAAATTGAGGAGCTGGCGAGCTGGTTCATCAGTAAAGTGCTTGCCTTGCTAGCATTAGAACTGAGTTCGACTCCCCAAACCTGTGTTTAGAAAACCCAGGCATGGTAGTGTGTCTATAATCTCTGAACCTGGGAGATGAGACAGGAAGAACCCTGGGGCTCTCTGGCTGGCCATCCTAGCTGATGGAGTCAAGTTCAAGGCCAGTGAGAAACCTGTCTCAAAAAGGAGCAGATAAGATGTAGGGGACGGCAGAGATGGCTCAGTGATTAGAACATGACCGTGCTTATAGAGGACCGAGGTTCAGTTCCCAGCATCCACATGGCCGCTCACAACTGCCTGCAACTCCAGTTCAAAGGGATTCAACACCCTCTTCTGGCCTTCTCAGAGTGTCCGCATCCAGTGCACAGACTATGTGCGCGGATACACACACACACATGAATGTGTACCTGCACACACATGCGCACATGCACATACATGCACACACACACACACACACACATACACATGAACACCTAGGTATATAAAGACATCAAAATCAGAAAGGAAAACAAGTTCACATAAGGGGCTACTTTCTGTTGGAAAATCTTGGGACCATCTGGAGAGCAACTGTTGTTAGTCTCCAAGAAAGATTGCCCATGGGACCGAGAAGGGCACATCCAGCCACTGGACTAACAACATCCTTCCTGTCCATCCCCAGGGAGAGATCGGGGAGCCGGGGCAGAAGGGAAGCAAGGGGGACAAAGGCGAGCAGGTAAGAATGTGAGTGTGCTGGGGTGGCTGCTGAGAGCAGAATGACCCTGTGTTCATACTCCATGATCCCAACACTGCAAACTCCTGGGTCACACCAGTTACGTTGCATTCCTGAGACTATCCCATGTGCATGTGTGTTCAGGCGTGTGAGAGACTCTCTTGGTGAAAAGCATGACCAGCCATGTGTCTTCCTGTTGGCTCATCTCTGAGGACCTCAGAGCTCTGCAGAGGCAAAGCATCCATTGTCCCTTGGTCTTTCATACATTCTGAGGTGCTGGGTTGTGGGTGCTGTAACCCCCCCATCACCCACACCAGCCCCCTCCAGCGCCATGAGCTCCTTCCAAACTGGAGACTCCCCTAAGCCTCAGACTAGTGCCAGTGCCATTACTCCTGAGGCGACGTCACCAGGCATCAGTACAGACCTCTGGCTGTCTGTTCCAGTGGGCTTTTCTCTCTATCCATTCCTGAGCCCACGGTGATAGGTGTTTGAGGACAGCATGCAAGCAAGGGTCATGATGGAGTCCCTCCTTAGCTCAGCACTTAGGAGCTTGAGACCGCTGATCCTTGTTGTCCGAGGAGGGTCTCTTCTGCACAACAGGGCGTGTGGGGATTGCTGGGAGGACACGGAATGATCTGCCCTGCTTCTGTTACCCATAGCAACATGATTGTAGTTGAATTGAGAGCCTTGCCCACTTCTAAGAACCTACAACCTGGCTTGTACCATAATGCTAATAGTTAGTGTCCCTCTGCTGACTGGCACATTTGGGGACTAACTCTCATTCAGAAGTCACATTCTGCACATCCAGCCTCTTCTGGAGACAGAATCGACCTACCACTGAACTCGTCTGCAATTCCAAAATAATTATGTCTCTGTTTGACTCCTGCAGGGTCCTCCTGGACCTACGGGTCCTCAAGGCCCCATTGGGCAGCCAGGTCCCTCGGTGAGTATCTGTGTTGAACGACATAGCAAGGCCCACCTCTCGAGCTGTTGTCCATCCTCACTCACGCTCACTTCCTTCCTCCAGGGAGCAGACGGTGAGCCTGGCCCTCGCGGACAACAAGGCCTGTTTGGACAGAAAGGAGATGAAGGTTCAAGAGGTTTCCCAGGACCACCGGGGCCAGTGGGATTACAGGTAACCATGGCGCTTCCCAGGACCCCCCCTGCAGAGGTGTCAGTATCTTGCTGGGTCCACTCTTCCTGCCATTGTAAGAATTAGGAAACTGAGCCTCAGTAGGAGGGATTGGAAGTACTGCCTGTTTCCCAGGAGTGTGCACGCACACATGCATGCACACGCACACACACTCACACATGTTCACATCTGAAAAAACCACCTAGAAGTGACAGCCATCCACACAGCCCACCACATTCATTGCCCTCTAGGTTACCTGTTTCTGCCCGGGGTGACTGACTCTATTGGATGTCCATAAACCCCCAAACTCACTGCATGCTGTAAAGCGTACACCAGCCTTTCATTTTATGTTATGGGCCACGTTGAAGGCCATTAAATATTCTTTGAACACAAGACTTTATTTTGGAAAACACAAATTTTAGTTAGTGGTGGTATTTGGCATATGGTGGGGACTTGATTTATCCGGAAGCTTCCCTGCTGCCGGCTCATTAGGTTTATTGTTTTATGGGAAGCTGCCGTAAGTGCTGGTGCCCATAAATCCTCCCATTCTCCTCTGATTATGTCCTCGGCTGTTTGAGCCCTGGAAGCAGGAAAACAACTTCCGCGGAGGCAGACTCACGGAAGCGCATTTCAGGGCCTTCGGGAAGCATCATGGGAGAGGCAATCATAGCAGTGCCAATCATGGCCGTGGCACTCGTGAGAGCCACGAGCATCTCTCACAGAGCAGCACCTCACCAGTTTCCTGTCCACAGGGTTTGCCAGGACCTCCAGGAGAGAAGGGTGAGACAGGAGACGTGGGCCAGATGGTAAGTGGCTGGGCCATCGAGGCCCAGTAGGGCTCCCCTGGTTTACATTTTGGGGAAGGGTGTTTACATCTTGTCTTGCTCAATGGCCTTTCTTTCTTCTCCCAGGGCCCTCCTGGTCCCCCGGGTCCCCGAGGACCCTCTGGAGCTCCAGGTGCTGATGGGCCGCAAGGTCCTCCTGGCGGAATCGGCAACCCTGGTGCAGTGGGAGAAAAGGTGATGTTCATCTGCTTGTCACAGTGTCTGCCCCATAGCTCCCTGAGAAGTAGTGTGTTTGTGTGCACATGCAGTCCCATATGCCTGTGTGTGAATGCACTCGTGTGCCTGTGTGTGTGAGCACACATGCATGTACACATGCATGTTTGCACAGACACTTCCCTCACACCCATTTTGAAACCTAAAAGTAGATACGAGACCTCAAGTCCAGTGCTCTGATAGTGGTCATTTGTAACAACCATTTGCAAAATCCAAAGCAATAGCGTGCTCGCTCCCCCACACCCCACCCGCTCCCTTCCCTCCTACTCAGATCTCCTTCCACACTGAGCTTGCTGTGACCGCCTCTTCCCAGTTCTGCTTTCTCACAGTCAGGGCCTTGTCATTCCTGATGGTCGATGTTAGGGCCCTTGAGGCTGACTGAGCATGGTTAGCCCAAGTGTGTGGGCATGGATATGTGTGCGTGTGTGCATGCTCACTGTGAATACACATGTGTGGGAACCGTGACGGTCTTGGTTTGAGAATGAACTCCACAGGATACTGGGAGGATGGCTTTAGGAGGCCATCTTAGACCTTGAGAGGGCTGAAAACCTCTGGCCTGCCCTTCCTGGAGCTTGCTTCTGATGCAGGGCCTTATGCTCAGGACAGGCTGGTTTGTTCTTGTTCTTTATGATAAGAAAGGAAGAGAAATGGGTTGGGTTAGAGGCACCACTGTCTCCTCCCCACTGCCTCACCCTGCATGGACTTTGTTTGCCACCATCTTACAGCCTTTCCTGTCTCAACACTACAGGAGAATACACTGGGTCTCTCGCTTCTACCCAGCTTTCCCCCCTGTGTTAGCTTCTTTCCTCACCGCTGTGACAAAATCCCTGAGAAAATCACTTAAAGGCTGATGGGCTGTCTGGCTCATCATGGTGGGAAGGCATGGTGGCCCGCGTGCAAGGAGGCTGCTCACATGTGTGTCAGGACTCAGAACACTTGCTTGGGACAGCCTTGTGTTAGTGTCCCTTGTGATCTGCACAGTGCCTGACACCCCCGTCCCCTCACATCTCCCTCATGTCTCTCCCATTCCTTCTTCTGCATTGGCTTCCCACTGCACTCCTGTGAGCTATCTGGAGCCCACAGAGTCCCGGACTCTGGTGCCCAAGGATAGGCAGGCAGAATGGGCAGATGGGCAGGTGCTACCAGATGGCCCGTCCCTTATCACCATTGGTGAGAGAACCTTCCAACACTGTCTTGTCTTCTCAGGGGGAGCCTGGTGAAGCTGGAGAGCCTGGTCTTCCAGGAGAAGGAGGTCCCCCGGTGAGTGTGATCCTGGAGGAGCAGGGGGATGTGCTTAGTGGGAACATTGACAAGGCACTGGACCAGAAGCTTCATCCTTGCGTCAGTTTCCTCTCCCATGAAATGGGAGTCATGACCCTGCTTTGTCAAACAACAGAACTGTGATGGGAAGGTGTAGCATCTTGTGGGGGTTGAGCTTGTGTACATGCATGTGTACAGACATGGGGCTGAGCACGCATGTGTGTACATGTGCAGACCGCAACAATGACCTCACAATCATGGCTGCCAGTAACTGCCATCTGTGGTACATAGGCCCTTTCACAGACTGCTGTGGTATGAGCATAGTCACCCTGTTAACTCAGCTAGCCTGAGACTATCCAGGCCTCTGAAGGTTGGGTATGGTCACTGAGAGGACGTCCCCAGAGTAGCTTTGGACCTATGAAGCATCTTGGGGGACTGAGGTATCTCAGTTTCCGGCTGTTTTCTGTGCCTGAACTATGGGACTCCCTAACGGCTTTTCATCAGATCAGGAATCAGCCCTTACCTAGAACTGAGGTTTTTGGGGTTGCTATGGAGAATTAGAAGCAAGAACAGTACTATCCCCATTCTGGAGCATAGGGATGCTGGGAAGGGGCTGCTGGTGAGATGCAGCAATGAGTTCCTGGATGGCCCGTTCTAGGCTAGCACCTTTCAGGCTCTGGCGAACACAGAGTGGGCTCTGAGAACTGAGCTGTCTTCCTCTCCAGGGACCTAAAGGAGAAAGAGGGGAGAAGGGAGAAGCTGGTCCCTCTGGTGCTGCCGGACCCCCTGGACCCAAAGGCCCTCCTGGAGATGATGGTCCCAAAGGCAGCCCTGTAAGTAACGCTAGATGCTGTGGTGTCTGGGCAGCGCCTGTTCTGAGTCCCTGTAGTGCCCGCATTGGGTGCTCCCTGACCTAGGAGCAGCTGTGCGAATGCTGTGTGTCTGAAGGGCAATTCTGTCTACCCTAGAGGTTTCCACAGCAGCTACTGATGAAGCTGCAAGAGGGGAGCAGGGAGGTCTGGGACAGAAGCAGCAGCCAGCAGGGCTCCTGATGGAAGGCCTTCAGGCTCAGGCTGCTGCTTTTCCCTGATGGCCCCAGTTTTGCATCAGAAGTTGAAGGGGCCACCAGAGCGAATGTGTGGGTAGGGCACCTGCCCTTACCAGGCTCAAAAGAGAAGGTTACTGCTCCGTACCTGCCTCCTGGGTGGGTTTGCACTTATGTGGACTCTTCAGGATAGGGACCTCACGATCAAAAGTGCTGGAGGTGTTGGAACCGTCCCTTGTCCTGTGACCTGGGTGGTAGTGGGCCGTGCAGGGTGTGTCAGACTGCTGATAGTCTCGTTCTCTTTTCTCAGGGCCCTGTGGGCTTTCCCGGAGACCCTGGTCCCCCTGGAGAGCCAGGCCCTGCAGTAAGTGTCCATCCCATTCCTGCTACTTCTTGCCATCCCTAATTTGCTCGGTCCCGGTTTCTACCCTTCTACCGGGTTCTCTAGGCCACAGCACCCCTCCAGGTTATCCCTGTTCCAATGCACAACTTTTGGGCATGGTAGACGTATTTGGGTTTGGGAAAGGATCTGGGGATAAGCTAGGGCTGGAGGGTGAACTTGATCTATCCAGTGGAAGCAATGTTCTTGTTCTCACAGGGTCAAGATGGTCCACCTGGAGACAAAGGAGATGATGGTGAACCTGGGCAGACGGTGAGTTGTGGTCTGATGGCTTCGTGGTAGGAGCATCCCTGCATTCTTGGGTCTTTGTGAGAAGCCCAAACTTAGGTCCCTCTTGACTGTGGCCAGAGCTTAGGAGCCCCAAGGACCTAATGAAGGCTGGGACCCTGCTTTCAAAGGAACAATGTGTATGTAGTCCCACCAGGGGACCTGCCCAAAAGTCTAAGGCCTCTGTGAAGTGTCCCTGTCTGACTCTTAATGTCCATCAAAGCTTCCCAACAGGTGCCCAATGTCCCTATGACTGAAGCCACTTGGTCTTGAGCAGCTATTTTAATGCAAGGTGGTCTCTTTGAGGTGGGACCAGGGGACCTCTTCAGGTCCCTTGACTGGACTGTGCTGGACTCAGAGGTCTCTCCAGCCTACTCCCAAGGTGGGGCCAGCTCCTAGGAATAGCTGACTATCTAGGTCTTTTTGCTGCTGGTGTGATAATGTTACAAGCTGGGTGAATTAAAGCAAGATAAATGTGTTTGGCTCAGGGTGCTAGAGGGTAGGAAGTCAAGATAGAGGGACCTGATCAGGTAGGGTGTCTTGCCGTGGCTTAGCAAGGCAAGAACAGTTATGGTGGGTCATGCTCCGATTCCAGCACTCAGGAAACTGAGGCAGGATGAAATCTACAAGTTTGAGGCCGTCTGGTCTAAATAATGAGTTCGGTGTCAGCCTCGGTTTCAGAGTAAGATCCCGTCTCAAATAATAACATAGTGGATGCCACCCTAAAGTGATGGGGGAGGAGAGGTGGGCTTAATCACTCTTTGAGAAAGAGCTCATTTCTGTGTGACTGTGGTGTAGACTGTGCGTGCGCACATGACCTGATAACCAGGCTCCTCCTCTCAACACCCGTACAAGGGCAATCTGATAAGAGCCTGGGTTTCAGAGATCATTCAAACCGGATCACTGACCCAAGGAAGGACAAAGACTTGTGTTGCTGATCTGAGACAGGCAGCCAAGGAAGTGAAAGGCAGGGGGCACAGACTGTGAGCCAGATGTGTCGTGACATGCCCCTGTTCCCGTACCACCTGCCTTGGGCTCCGGCTTGGTCCTTCGGCAAATGAGATGTATGTAGGTGATGACATGGTGGAAACTAGACTTCCAGGGTGTTAGACTCAAGCACGCCCCAGGGGGTCTCTTTGTTCCAGATATAATAACTGTGGGCTAGGAGTTGGAGTCCCTGAGTGCCACCAGCAGGGAATGGGACTTGCTATACTCACCAGAGAGGGGGCCATGCAGGGCTAGCCACAGAAAGGACTGAATGGCCAAGTGTTTTCTCAGCCCTGTGTCCTGACGTGACAAACTTCTGATGCTCTGTGTCCTTTCCCCCAACCAGGGATCCCCAGGTCCGACTGGTGAGCCTGGTCCATCCGGACCTCCAGGAAAGAGGGTAAGTCCTTCTGCCCTCTGCTCCCCTCTCACTGGCTGCTTCCTGCACAAAGACCTCTACCCTTTGTGGAGCCCCTGGTGCCCCGCATGGCCCCGAAGAGGGCACACGGATATCTGAAATGTGGGACACGCTCATCGGGCCACATATTGGTGGGGTGACACAGCTGGGTGGAGCAACCTCAGAGGAGGCAAAGTCTAGACCAGGGGTGTTTAGGATGGCCAGTGACTGAGAATTTTCAGAACAGATCACTGTCTGTTCTGCCATCATGGGAGGGAAAATTCTCAAGAACTGCACTCTCCTTGTCCATAGACCAGCTTATCTGAACGAAGAAGAGCCAAGATAAGGAACAGATGTCTGCATTGTGTCTCTGGATGCCTGGACTGTGGTGTTTGAGCCAAACAATGTACAGGCAGGAGAGTTCTTTCTATATACAAGGTGTTTAGGGCATCGTAGATCCACCAGAAGCTTTGCAGGTTTCTGGAGTCATAGGATCACATATGGGGGCCTGAATCTTCACTGGGGAGTGGTCCAGAGCGACCTCACACCCTGTTGCTCTTCCTGGAGTCTAGGCCTGGTCTCCAAACTCAGCGCTCAAGTCTTAGTTGTTCTATTGTTTTTTCTAGGGTCCCCCAGGCCCTGCGGGCCCTGAAGGAAGACAAGGAGAGAAAGGAGCCAAGGTAAGTTACCCTGGTGGCTGTGACCTCTGTGGGCCTGAAGGAGGTTGGGGCAATGGCAGGGTGCAGTCTGAGGACAGAGGAGCCATGGAGGCAGAGAGAGGATGAAGAAGCAGAGGGAAGAGGCCAAAGGAGCCAGGGTGAGGTGACACCTAGTCTTTGACCTGTGACAGAGCAGAAGACAGTACACACAGGAAGTGGGGCCTTAGGAGACTAGGATGGTCATTACCTGAGTGGTAAACGTGGTGCCCAGGACTGGAACATCCAGCTACTCTTGAGTGGGGTGACCTGCAGGCCTACATGGGAACATTTGTCATCTCTGAGACTTAGTGAACTCTGCATATGGATGTCGTGTGGCTAGGCACCTGGTGGGTGACCTGATGTGGTGGTTACCACAGTTAGCAGGAGTCAGGGAGCTGCTGTAACAGGATGGAGCATGGGCCAAGTCAGCTTTCACAGGAATGTGGGAAATAACACCACCCAGGACACCTAGGGGACATCTCTGCAGCACCCCCAGGGGTATCAGCCTGGGTGCCTTAAGCCTCTGAATACCTGCATCCTCCTGCATCCTCTAAACAGGGAGAAGCCGGTTTAGAAGGCCCTCCTGGGAAGACTGGTCCTATTGGCCCCCAAGGGGCCCCTGGGAAGCCTGGCCCCGATGGTCTTCGAGGGATCCCTGGTCCTGTGGTAAGTGGCCTAGCAGTCATAGGATGAGGGACAGGTGATGATGGATTCACCTGATCACAACAAGGGACTCTGTTTCAGGGTGAACAAGGCCTCCCAGGATCCCCAGGCCCTGATGGTCCCCCTGGCCCTTTGGTGAGTAGCATGAAATGCCAGTGTGTTCTGTATGGGCCGGGCACTGGAAACCCTTGGGACAAGGACACTGACTCTTCTCCCTTCTCCTACAGGGTCCTCCAGGACTCCCTGGACTCAAAGGAGACTCTGGTCCCAAAGGCGAAAAGGTGAGCTAAGACTTAGGGGACTCCAATATTGTCAGAACAACACCATCAACTCATCCATAGGAGTTACCGACCTACCACCAAGTACCTGCTGTGACTGTCGCAGGACCTGGAGGTGGATTGACAGAGAAGTACACCCAGGGCTTTGAGACTCATGTCTATATCAAGGTGTCCTAGAAGTCCCAGAATTGACAAGAACCTTCTAGAAGCCCCGAGCATCATTAACTGATGGTGGCTTTTCTCCTCCTCACGTTGATTTATTTGTGAATAAATGGGCTCATAAGACAAGCAGCTGTCCATAGAGAAGACAGCAAGGAACACCCTTTTCTACTTTGAGATCCTTCACTAGCATAATGGAAGCTGGAAGTCCTTCCAGAACATTCTAGAGTGGAACCAAAAGATGTATAGGGCAGATATGGTGGATGTTTCTCTTGAAAGCTGTTTCAGTGACTATAATATCCTTAGTACTGGGCGGTTTCCATGCAGAGTCAGCCTCAGACCTTGTAGGAAGAGGGTACATGTTTAAAGTAAGCAAACTATCCCTCAGGGAAATCCAGTGGCCTCTGGGTCTGGGTACCCCTGTATGCTTTCTTTGGTCGTTATTGGGGTCCAGTGGTAGTACTGTGCAGTTGAGCCCAGGGCCTCACACGTGCTAGCCCAGGGCCTTACTGTTCAGCTACACCCTGGCTCTCCCTGTGTGTTTCTTCAGGTACGTTCCTTACCAGGAAGGGTCCACGAGGCCTCTCTTGTCGCCTGGCCTCTGCTTGTTTTCAGTCCTCGGCGTGTTGACTATGACACATTTCCCTGTGTTATGGCCCTGTGCCAGGTCACCTGACCTGCTGTGCGGTGGACTCAGAGCACCGGTAGCACAGATCTGTCATACCTTTGTTTTCTCACAGGGCCATCCAGGTCTGATTGGACTCATCGGACCTCCGGGTGAGCAGGGTGAAAAGGGTGACCGAGGACTCCCAGGCCCCCAGGGCTCTTCTGGTCCTAAAGGAGAACAGGTACATAACATAACTAACATCTCCAGAGCAGTTTCTAGCTTCCCTCGGAGCCTGGGAGGATGCCCTCATTGTCGTGGAGTCTCGAATCTTGCTTTGCAGATGGGATCAGTGGGGACTTGGACTTAGCTAGGGTCCCCAAGGCACAAGTTAGAACTTACCCCAAACCCAAGTCCTGGGCGGAGCAGAAGCTCATTGGCGTGATGACCCTCAGAATCAGAGGGTCTGAGCAGTCAAATCCTTCCCCCTCTTCACTAACTCGCTAGGCAGAAGGTTATGGTGGACTGTCAGCCGTGTTCACTTGTGGAGAGAGGCAGAGCATTGGCCGCTAACATCCCTGCCTCCCCCTTGTCACAGATGCCCACTTCTGACCCCAGACTTCCCCTGGATCCACTGTAGTGGGTTAGTTTGCAGTGTCAGGAGGAAACCCTGGCTACATGTTGGTTTGTCTGTAGAAGGTAAAGTGGAGGAGACGCCCAAGCTGAAAGAGGGTTAGTTTATGTACAGCACAGAAGAAAAGGCACACATGTTCACATGGGAGCCCCCATTCATGTAGTGGGACTCCCCACTTTGTACCCACTCACATCTGGGGATCTTTGCTTACCCACTCCTTGGCCTGTCCCTGAAGACAGCAGAATGTGGGGGTGACAGGAGCCTCTGGAGGCTGAGCGAACAGTAGACATCCCTCTTTAGGTCGTATTGGAAGTGAATGGCATCAAAGGAGGAGACTCCATGGAGCCCTGCCTCAGCCACTGTGGGTGGTTTGCTGACTGCCAAGTGTCGCCAGGCTTCCGTGGCACTCAGACTATGTGGCTCTGTACATGAAGGTTCATTCGCTTCTCCACACACAGTGTAGTCTTGGCCATGTTACAGGTAGAAGGTGTCTCCAGCATGCAGGCTTGAGAAACATGGGACACACTAGAGACTTCGAGGCCAGGTCCTGTGAGCTAACAGTGGAGGGAGACACTTTCTTCTCTGTGGGACTGGGCTGTCAATTGTGGCTGATCAGGCTAGACCCCTGGACACTCTGCTTTCCCCTGTCTACTGTGGTGGGACCTAACACCATGAGCCGAGATGTGGCCACGCTGGGCAGGAGGCTGGGTCAGGCTTTTCTGAGTGCCAGTGGTGTATGGTGGGGGTGGTGTCTTAATTTATAGTTCCTTCTGGCCTGGGGAGAGGGCTGGGCCTGGGGACCTCAGCCTGTGGCTGGTGTTCGGGTGACTCCGTCTAATCCAGCGAGGAGGCACGAAGGCCCTCACCGTGGAGTAAGCTCTAGAGTGACTGACATTGACAACAGCTGCCTGCCAGGCTTCATTATCCCTGCAAAAGGAGCTATGAGGAAGCTTGGACTCATGGCAGGGTCACATGCGTCACCTTCCTCAATCCCACCCCATCTAAAAGCTGGTAACCTGTACTTTCTGTTCCCTTCCAGGGCATCACTGGTCCCTCAGGCCCACTTGGGCCTCCTGGGCCCCCTGGCCTGCCGGTATGTATCTAGGACGGGTGCAGGGGACGTAGGACCCGGTGGATACAAGGAGGGGAGGGAGATGGATGAGCTGGGCTAGAGAACCACAAGGAAGTCAGGAGAGATGGTTGAACCAGAATTTATTTGTATATAATGCAGCACTGGGGTTGCAAGGCACAGGAGCAGGAGAGGGGTTGCTGGTCCCCTGTCCAGCCTTGCCAAAGGGGAAGGGAGGGGCAAACTTTAATGCCTGAGCCCCGTCCCAAAGAATGCAGATCCTTCTGTAAGCATCTGGGAAGAGGGAGGGGAATGTCTTGGCTCTCCTCTTCCTAATGCGCACGAGTCAGGCCAGCCCAGTCCAGGCTTGAGAATAAGGGACCTGTCCTCTCAGCACACTGGCCTAGGCCTCCCTTGTGTTTCCCACACGCCATTCCCACATCCCTGAGCTCTGCCCTCTCTGACCCGTCTGTGTTAACTGGACCTTGGGTTCACATGGCCGTGGATGTCCAGCAGCTGACTCCTTCCAGGTCCCCTCAGGAGCCCAGACACTCCCTGACTCTTAATGCCGAAATGTCATTCCCAAGCTGAGCATTGTGGGCAGGGTGGCTTCTCATCAGACACCCTCTGCCTCCTGGGGGGCTGAGTGGCAGCCACCACCAGCTCTCCTTCTGCCCACCAGCCAGGCAAGTGCAGAGAGGACAGGCAAGTGCAGGGTCAGGGACAGGCTGAGCAAAACTAGGCCTGTGGGCCCCTCTGTTTACTGACATTCTGACCTCTGCTCTCTGCAGGGCCCTCCAGGTCCCAAAGGTGCTAAAGGCTCTTCGGTAAGTGACTCTGCCTTGGTGGTGAGAGAGGAGTTCTCTGGGAAGTGGGACACTCGGATGCCCACCCCGGCCCATAGAGATCCTCTCCACCCCTCCCCTCTTCTTCATTATACTGTGTATTGTTGGTATTCCTTGTTTTCTCTAGATTTCCCTTGGTGAAAAAAAATATGACTCTATTGCTCTATTGCTGGCTGCTTTTAAGTATTATTTTAATTGTAGCTGTTCCCGGGATGCTGTGGGAGGAAATCAAGTGAGACGAGCTAGCCCTGCCAGATCCTGCAACCTTTCTGCACTCTGGCTAACAGAACAAACACGTGTATTTATCAGGCCCGGTGTGGCTTTCCACTTTGTGCCTATGGCATTGTCCTGACTGAACTGGGGTCGTTAGCGGTTCTGAGTCTTTGTTGTTACTCTGTGTTTGGAGCCCTCCAGCCTCTCTATATAGTCATGAAGCCTAGCAGGCTAGGATGTGTGTCAGTCCCCCACCGTGTTATAGAACACCATGCTTTATTCCTTCCGTGCGGCCATGTTTCGTTCCCATCATCCATCTTCCATCCTTCCCGTGTCCCGGTCCCCTCCCCTAACCTCAGCGATCACTATTCTATCATCTACTTTCTATTAATTGTTAATGTTCCAACTATTCTACACTGAACTTCTTTCTGGTAATGCTGATTTCAGAGTGCCTCTAGTTGTCACCTCTCCCCCATGTCCCCCCACACAACACAAGATGGCCTTTATGACTGAGCGCTACTCCTGTGTGTATACAATACATTCCTTTTCACTGGCTGGAGCACCTAGGCTGATCCCACGTCTTAGCTATTGTGTTCAGTGCAGTGACACACAGATACAGTGACTTGGTGTCCTTGTTCTACTCAGAAGTAGGACAGCGAGATGGTGTAGCATGTCCACCTTGTTTGTTTGCACCATGGCAAACTCTTCTGCGTCCCCCACCATGGTGGAACTTTCTGTGTCCCCACCAGCAGTACTCCGTCCTCTCTAGCATGTCTTTTTGTCTCTCTGATAATGACCCTGCTGGCTGAGGTGGGATGGAGTCCTAATGAGGGTTGGGTTTACATTTCCCACAATGACCCATGCAGCTGGCATGCTTCCATAAACCCGTTTGTTGGCATTTTCTTTTCTTTTTTATACCTGTCTCCTGTCTTTCTGAATGAGCCCAGTCCAGCTCAAGCCAACACATCTAGGCTGCTTGCTCCCTGCTGTGGAGGGTGCCAGCCTCAGGAAGAGAAGTCTTGCCTGCCTTGTCACTTTTTCCTGACCTTTCTGGAGCTGGTGGGTCTGTCAGATCACAGAAGGCCCTGTGACCAAGTACTGGTTTGTCACTTTCTCAACAGGGTCCCACTGGCCCGAAGGGCGAGGCAGGCCACCCAGGACTCCCTGGCCCACCCGTGAGTAGTCTGTGAAATGTGGAGGGAGACTGAGGGAGCGTCTGTTGTGGGGCTTGCTGTCTGAGATGCAGTGAAACTCAGATTTCTGGTCCCTGGGGATGCAGAGGGGGCTGTTAGTGTCACAGGCCTGTCCATGGAGCTCATCCCTGGGTAGGATTATTGGCCAGAGAGAGGGAATGTGCATGTATGTTTGTGACTATGTAAGTGTGCCATATGACTGTACATGCTTATATGTACTTAGTTATGTGTATATATTCATATTTATAAGTAATAACTTATGCCTGTATGCATGTTTGTAAGTATGGACTTGTGCATTTGTGTGTACCCTATTCATATATGTGTAAATATGCATGTAAGTATAAATGTATGTATGTTTCTCTATGCTATATGCATGTGTGAACATTCATGCATAATATGTTAAGGTGTGTAAATGTATATATATATATACTTCTCTTTGTATATGTATACATGTATTTATATGTATTATGGGTGCTTATATGTATGTGCATACAGGAACATGCATGTGTATGCAAGTATGTGTATTTTTGTCTGTGTATTGTATATGTACATGTATGTGTGTGAACATGAATTTGTAAATGTGAATGTGTGAGTCTATTTGTATATGTGTGAATATGGTATATGTGTGAATATGTATATACATACACAAGGTATGTTTGTGAACAAAATATATGTAGCTGTACATATGTATTTTGTGCATGTGTATATGAACACGAAATGTGTATTGTATATTTCTACATATATATTATATATGTGCTTGTATGTGCATGCACATGTGTATATGTATTTATGTATATTGTACATTTTTGTTTGTCAGAGTTAGGGTTTCTATTTGTAAGTGTGTGTGAATATGCATGTGTGTTTCTTTATGTATGTATTGTGCATGTATGTGTATATATATAAATATACATGTACGAACATGTATACGTATAGATATGTATATTATGTATATATGTGAACATGAATGTATGTGTTTCTAAATGCATATTATGCATGTGAATATGTATGAACAAGAATGTATAAACATTCAGGCATATTTCTATATGAGTATGATGCTTGTGTGTTGTTGTATGACAGAACAACATACAAAGCTGAGGCCTTGAACCACTAAATTCTGGAGAAGAGGCAGGGCCTTGGGCTCAGGGGAGAAAGGCACTTAGCCTGGACAAGTGGATGGGCATGGAGTATTCAGGATATAGGAAGGAGTGGGCAAACAGTGTGACCTGGCAGCTGTCCTTCCAACCCAGGGCCATCCTTGTCCACTCCCATCCATGACTGCTTTCTTCTGCACCCCAGGGCCCTCCAGGGGAGGTCATCCAGCCCCTGCCAATGCAGGCATCCCGGACTCGGCGGAACATCGATGCTAGCCAGCTCCTGGACGACGGGGCTGGGGAGAGCTATATGGACTACGCAGATGGCATGGAGGAGATCTTTGGCTCCCTGAACTCCCTGAAGCAGGAGATTGAGCAGATGAAGCGGCCACTGGGCACACAGCAGAACCCCGCCCGTACCTGCAAGGACCTACAGCTCTGCCATCCTGATTTCCCAGACGGTGAGGAAGGCCCTAGTGGGAGTCTAGGCTAGTCAGAGCCACTCCTCACTCACTCCCCATCCATGGGGTGGAAGCATAGGCTGGACCCTTTCTTAATCTGCGGAAACATCAGAGAGGGAGGTGACACAGTCAGGGGAGGCCAGACGGGCTGAGCACCGAGGCTTCAAGGCTGCTTTACTCTGAGCCTCGTTGCTCCTGATCTGTAAAATGGGCACAGAAACATGCTGTGTGGTAAATGGACAGTGTATAAAATGCCTTTGGCCTGGCACTTAGCTGAGCCTGAAGGCAGCTTGATGTCAGGATGTGCGATGCTTGGGAAGGCGAGTTTTAGACACTGGCAGAACCATGGGGCTTCATCCTCACCCTTTTCAAACCAAGGGCCTGTTGAGCAGCCAACCAAATCCTGCTTGTCTTCCCCCAGTAAGTAGGGACGTACCTCCTGCCAGACGTGAGGGGTGTCTTATTCCAGTAAATTCTGACTCCGCACTTGCGAATTTCCAGGTTTGTTTCAGGACATTCTTTGCCTTTCTGTCGCCCACCCATCAAGGTCAGCAGACACGTACACGGTGTGCTGCATGCCTCGGCTCTGTTCTTGTGAGCAGGGCTGTCTGCTACGCTTTATGTTCCCCACAGGAGAAGGGAAGCGCTAGGAGATGAGGAAGGAAGGCTGTATCGGTGACTTTATGGCCCTGGCTGGGCGTTTAACAGCCAGACTGAAATGTTGCGGTGGCTTCTGCCACTGTCTGGAGAGTCGTTCTCATGAATCTGCCTCCCTGTCTCTGAAATCAGGTGAATACTGGGTCGACCCCAACCAGGGGTGCTCTAGGGACTCCTTCAAAGTCTACTGCAATTTCACAGCCGGAGGGTCCACGTGTGTCTTCCCTGACAAGAAGTCCGAGGGGGTGAGTACTCATGTCAACCGCTTGCTTCCACTCTGGCCAGGGCTTCAGTATTTCCTGTGCATATGCAGCTTTAGGGCTAAAAGTCAGAGGCCAGTCAGTTTTGGAACCAAGAGCATTCTTCTGGAAGTCACTCTTAAGTGGTCCTGAGATGAGATATTTCAGGTACATGCTGGCAGGTGCAGCCTAGGTCTCAGCAAGTGGGAGAAAGCCTGCCCTGAGTGTGCCCCTCTAGCCTCCCTGGGGCTCTCAGAAGCACCTCAACCCAGACCAACCTAAAACTTTGGGGACAAGTGTGATGACGAGCCCACGACATCTAGAGGAGGCTGTGCCTAAACTGGGAGTGCCAGCTTATTTCTGTGGATTTGTCCCTGCCCTCTCAGGTGCCAGGCAGGGGTAAGAGTGAAGAATCTGTGGGCAGATAGCCAGGATCTGACTCAGGAGATTACTTAGTCACCCTGTGGCCTTTCAGGAGCCCAGTCCTGTAGGTAGGCATTTGTGTGCGCATGATGGGTGTGTAAATTATGTGGTAGGAATCTGTGACAAAGGCCATTCTGGCCTAGAACAGGCAAAAATAGGATGAGCCTTTTCCATATCTGAGGAGATGACCATGACCCCAACTTCAGGGTCCTTCCATCTGGCCTGGGATGGCCCGTGTCATTTTCCGGATGCCACAGCAGGTTTGTGCGTATTCCACACCACAGCCTCCTGGGACCCTGCCACCTGGGGAGTGAGTTCCTGCTGGAGGGAGCCTAAGGGCTCCCTGGGGCTGCCATCCCTTCCCTAAATCACACCATACAAGTGGCAAGTACCAGCATGCCCGTGGGTCACACTCGGCTGGTGGCAGCAGGAGCAGAGCAGGGGTGAGAGATTCATAGGTTTGACATCCATCCATCCCTCCTGCATCCTGGATTCCTGGACTCCCAGAGACAAGCCAGGGCTTAGCAGAAGTCTGAGACCTGAGCACCTACTCTATGGGTCTTGGATTCCTCCATCTGACCAGAGCTGGGGATGGAATTAAACTAAGAGACCTTTCTCCCCCACCTTGGCACTCAGCCCTCTCCAGCCAGCCGCTAGTAGCCAAGCTGTTGCTGGGGCTGAGTCACATGGAGTCTTTACAGACCCTGTGCTTTGGCTCTTTGCTTCTTCCACATGCATGAACTACAGGCTGGGCCAGGGCTGCCCTGTCCAGGATGAAAAGACCCTCTCCTAATGGCGCTGGGACGTGGGGCTCCGGGGCCTGGAGCAGCTTTGAGCAGAAGTCTGAGTTAAGCTTGTGCTCTTTGTCCCCAACTTGGGAGGAACTGCTCCCCTACAATTTGAGTGTGGCCTTGATTGATAGATCTGAAAAACCACAGGGAAAAGTGGAGGATTCTGGGGTCTCAGGCAGACAGGACACCTCATTTTCCCAGCAGTCTGTTCTGTCCTGACACCCACACAGCTCAAGGGGGGCATTCAATAGTGTCTCATATCTCTTCCTCTCCCCACTTAACATCTGGACCTGGGTCCCAAACATGGTCTCGAAAGGAGCAGCTCAGCCCAATCTGGGCCCAGGCTATCTGGAGGACTCTCTTTTTCCTCTCCTACAGTGAGTCAGTCCAGAGATGCCACCTCCCACCTTCACATACAGAGGCTCAGCTGCCCACTAGACCCGAAGTGAGATTCCGCTAGGAAGGCCAGAAGTAAGCCCATGATGAAGGATAGCCCTGAAAGTACAAGAGACATTGGGGCAGCCTTTGCTCCCTTGTCACAGCATATTACCTAACAGCTCCAAGGACCCCGAAGACCACAGTCCCCAGTGAAGACCTTCACACACACACACACACACACACACACACACACACACACACACACACACCTCTTGTATGACTTTTTTTTCTGGGGAGACAACAACGAACATCTTTTCCCCTCAGATAGAACACCAACAACAGAGAAAAGAACAAAAAATGATTTTACCCAGGTCTAGCTGAGCGAAGCTATGACTTTCTTGGGGTCACTTCCAGGGGCTTGGGTGACTCAGAGGCAGCCGTCTCACTGAAAAGACCTCTGCCCCAGGCCTACAGCTTCCCAAAGCTGCTGCATTGGAGTTCTGTGACTGGCAGGCAGTGTGGATGGTCAGAGAACCTCTTCTTCCCATGGTTTTTATAGTCTTTGAAGGGGCCTTGTGTGTCCTGTAAGCCGGAGCAGGTTTCTGAGACTTGTGAGTTGTGTTTACTTTCTGAGCCTTAGTAAGCTTAGCTATAGGAAAAGGTGTTTCCATCTGGAGGATATCGCTATACAACCAACATTTCACCCTCTCTTCTGGCTCTAACAGTGTTTCCACACCTTCTTCTGTGATGTTTCCCATGCCCTAGAGAGTGTGATAAAGATGTGTGGTGATTTCCCTTCATCGGCGGCCACTGTGTCGTGACAGCAGCCCCATAGTTTCCGTGACTAGTTACGCGCCTCTGCAAGTCACCTTCTACTGCAAAAGAATAAGCTTCCTTCCATGACCAGCTGAGACAGCAGCAGTACTGTTAGAAGGCAACTTGATAGGAACGTCACAAACATTAACAAAGCAGTGTAGTGGCCTCCCCGCTAGAGCCTTTCATCTCCCCAGCCATGGGCTTTCCCCCTGCCGTCCAGTTCTGGATGTGAATTCCCTTCTGGGAAGTGGGCCTTAAACCTTTTGAAAATCAGCTGGTTACTCCATAAAAGTTGTATCACTATGGCAGCAATGTGTACATCTTGTCTGGCTTGTTGGTAGTATAGCCTACAGGATGCATAACTAAGCAGGACTGTTGGGGACAATTCGCCATCCCCCAAGCAGTCTACTTAGTACCTCCTAGCACTAAGGAAATCAACCAGAGGGGAGGGAGCTTCGGGCTCAGTCTCAGTTTGGTTTTCCCATGGCCTGCAGCCAGCCAACATGGAGGGAGCTTCCCATATGGCTATGTACTCAACTCACGCCACACTCGTGTACCTTATGCACACACACATATCATGCAAACACACATATGCATATATACATATATACACATATTGTACATACATACATACACACACACACACACACACACACACCCAGTGGCACTGCCCATGTTACTGCAGTAGCAAGTGGCAGCTGAAGAGCCCGATCCTCTGTGTCTCAAGATTGAGAATGGGATGTGATGTGCACACATTGCATGCTGGCTGCAACTTTACCTGTCACCGACACGAGACTCCTGCATTTGCCGTCTGCTGCCCCACGGGTACCTTTCATGTCCCTTCACGCCCTGGTGCACATCGGCTGCTAGTCTGTGGTCTGCAGCCCTAGCATGACTGTGTTGACATGTACTTGGACACTGCAGGGCTCCAGAGATGTTGTCACCCCCAATATCACTGTGGTAAGGCCTCAGCTCTTAAGGGAAGCGTAGGCACCTTGGCAGGACACAGGGGCTGGGAAAGCTGGGAAGATCTGTCTGTGGAGGCAGGAGTAACCCTTTTATTTTCTGTTTCTCTCCCTCCCCACCATCCCTGCCTGATGTGTAGGCCAGAATCACTTCTTGGCCCAAAGAAAACCCAGGTTCCTGGTTCAGTGAATTCAAGCGTGGGAAACTGGTAAGGTGACCCCATGTCCTTTGCAGCTGTCACTTTAAACCCGCCATCTCCTATCTTGCAGAGTAAAATGGCCCGCTGGCCCAAAGAGCAGCCTTCCACCTGGTATAGTCAGTACAAACGGGGTTCCCTGGTAAGTGGCCACCTCACGCTGCCTGCTTGCGGCTCGGCCTGGCTCTGGGTGCTGCCTGGGACTGATTGCAGCTGGGGCCACACCTGCTAATGCCCTTTAGGCCAACCTGCTCCACACGCCTGACAGCAAGGTCCGATGGGTGTGATGTTCCTTCCTCTTGCCTCCTCCTCTTTCACCCAGAGTCGCTTCTATCCTGGAAGTAGGCGGGTACTTCCCACTGAGATTCAGGGCACCCACAGCTGGAGGTAGGAGCTCCAGTACAGTCACATGCCACTGACAGATGGCACAACCCGGCTGACATGCATAAGTCTGTGGGTCCAGCAGATGAGGTGGTTCCTGAGGGTCCGAACAGGCTGCCGCCATTCACACCCTCTTCCTGGGCTGTGCAGGGCCCATGGGCTCTGGCTGTTGACCTTGAAGTCTCCACTTGTCCCTCACATATTAGTCTGTGTTTAACTCATGGGAGGTGTACCTCAGACCCCGATCACCCGATCACCTTGGAGGTGAAAAGATCTTTTATTATTATTATTATCATTTATTAAAATTTTCCACCTCCTCCCATTTCCCTCCCTCCACACCCCTCCTCCTCCCTCTCCAGTCCAAAGAGCAGTCAGGGTTCCCTGCCCTGTGGGAAGTCCAAGGTCCTCCCCACTCCATTCAGGTCTAGGAAGGCGACTAGGCTCGCACAAAGCCAGTACATGCAGTAGAATCAAAACTGAGAAGCCAAGGACAATGGCACTGGGTGAAAAGCTCTTGAAACATCAACCAGAAGGCTCATGTGGCCAGCATGGGGGCCAGGAACTTGCTTCTATTCATTCCCACTCAAAATAGGACATCTTCTCCTTAGCTCTCTGAACCTTTCCTAAAGTCCCATCGAAGCTCTGTGACACCCTGCCGGATTTCAGGTTCTGGGTCCCGAGTAGAGCCCACACACCTTCTTTGAACTCTCCTCTTCCATCTAGTGGGCCTCACCCTATGGGTCCTTGCTCACACAAACCCCTTTTGGATCCACTGCCTCTCAATGCTGCACCAGCCTCCACCTTTAGCGAGCACAGACCCGTGTATTTCCAAGCTTTCGGTGGCTTCCGGGATCATCCTCTCGGTCATCCCTTTGCCTGGAGGCATGTCTGGCTGTCTGTCAGGGTCCTGAGGTGCTTGGCCTGTGCACAGAGACTGCAGGCCTGTGCTCTTCTGGCTCCAGCCCCCACAGCCTTCTCTTCCCTTGCTGGGAGCTGGGCTTCCTCCTTGTTGTTTCTTCTCCTTTGCTTCTTCTGCTTCCTTCAGAGAGAACCACTGACGCACAGAAGGACCTGTTGGGAGGTAGGCCTAGTGAGCAGTGGCAGGAGACCTGAGGCAAGAAGGGGGTGAGACTGCCCAGGTCTGAGATCCATTGGGTCCTGTCTGCCTGAGCTCGGCCTGGCTTCTCCCCTTCCAAGATGACTTTCGCGTGGTGTAGTCCAGGTCCCCCAGGGGGTGCCCACCACTATCCTTGCTGAAGGAGCAAATAGCCATAAAATACCCACGTCTAGGCAGCTCCTTCTGACCTTTATCCTGAGTTGGCTGCCAGGAACAGGGGTGCAGGGACCATCCACGGCAAACTAGCCTGCCTCCAGGCTCCACTACCTCATTCCCAGCTCCCAGTAAGAACCATAGTAACTGGAGGGCAGGGAAGAAGCCAATCTCTTTCTGAGCTGCCAAAGATGGCTGCTCACACTGAGATGGCAGGAAATGCCCCAGGGCAAGACCACTTGAAGACAGGGATCGAACTGGGAATAGTACTGGTGCTTTGGGTCCTTCTGTGTCTGGTGCCAACTCTGCCTCTGCTGTGGCATGTGTCTTTTCTCAAGTCAGTCACGTGACCTCCCTGGAACGCCAGATGCCCAGACCACTGGTTGGTATGCATTTTCCTCTGAGAGTCTGTTTGTGGGTTTTCTTGAGCTGCCTCCAAGGGAATGAAGTTTGCCGGTAGCTTGGGAACCCCCGTGGTGTCCTAGTGCCATGGTGGGAAGGACAGGGTCCTGGCCTGGCCCCACCACCCCATTCTTTTTTCCCATTACTACTGAAAACATGGGTTCTGAAGTTGTCGCCGTTTTCTTGATTACCGAGTCCTGTATCAGACCCAACATTGCCCCAGCATTCCTTTACTACCTCGGGTCCTTTGGAATGACCAACACAGAGCAGGGTTCGAGCAGCAGCTGACCGGAGATGGGATTACCAGAGTGAGACATGAACCTCTGCCAGCCCCCTTTCCTTGATGAACATGTCATTACAGGGCCTGCCCAGCTTAGCCCTTCTAGTCCTTGCCTGGAGAGGGGCCTCCAGTCACACCCAGGCTGGGGGAGCCAGTGGTTTGTCCCACAACTAAGAATTTTACACCCCTGCTAATGCTGACACCTCAGAAAACTCCCTGCAAAAGGGATGTAGACAGTGAGACTCTCCTCTTGGGATGCCCATGCCAGCCTGCACCTAGCAGAGCAGAGTGGCTTGAGATACTGCTGACACTGTGGAAGCCACTTACCAAGTGGCGTTCTTGTTACCTGATGCTGTTCCTAGTTTGCTGTGGAGAGTGGAGCCTTCCAGTGAGGGGTCCTGTCTCCGGAGACCCACGTTTCTTGCTTGCTATGGCCAGTGGTCAGCAGGATAGTCAGTTTGTTGCCTCAGAATCCCTACAGAAGAGGACACCCTTGTACCTCCGGGGTACTCCCCGTCACTCAAATTCCCACGCAACTCAGGTCCTACTCAGGCTGGTTCATCATCCATCCAGGCTGCACCATTCTCCAAGGTCTCTTGGCCATTCTAGCTCTTGAATCTAGCGGATTCACAAGGTGGGGCCGTGTACATCCTGAACACTCAACAGGTAACCTTCCATTTCCCACAAGAGCCCATGCCCCCTTCCTTTGCTAAGCACAGTGACAGGGACAACAGGCCCTGAGTGCCTGTGCTTGTGGCATATGTGTTCCAAGGACGATGACACACAGGCACTGGAACACACAGGATGCACAGGAGCTGATGCACGAGCCTCAGGGCTGCGTTCAGGAAACCGTGAGGAGCAGTGACAGAGCTGTGACCAAATGTGACAGTCGTCGCGTCTCCTGCCCATGGCTGTGTGCCCAGGAGAGAGAACTGTCAAGGCTCAGGGTCAGATAGAACACTCAAGCACTACCAGGGCAGCAAAGGGTGTGGTCACCAGAACCCCAGGAGCTGCTTCTACTCCTAGGCCTTATTCCCATACATTTGAAGAAGAAAGACCTTGCCTCTTGCTCCCAGCACCCTGACTCACTGATGGGAGACTCACTGTGGAGCCGTCTGTGTCCCGTAGACGAGAGAACAGGTTTTAACGGAACATACATTCATTCAGTACAGTCAAGCCAGGCAGACCTGGCCAGGTTGGGAGGAGGTGGTTGGCTTCTCAGACGTGGCCTGAAAGCTAGAGACAGAAAAGAGGGTCAAGTGCAGGAAAACCTGACCCAGGCAGGCTTCTGGAGGAAGCAGTGTGGGCACTGGACCTGGAGGGTGCTGAGTAAAGAAGGATAATGGGCAGACAGTCAGTCCCTGAAGAAAACAAGGTCTATTTTCACTTGACTGCTGATCCCGGAACTCCCAGAAGATTCCATGTGCTGGCTTCAGTGGCAAGGAGTCTGGAGGCTTCCAGGCAGTGGCCTCAGGGAAATGGGCTTGGGTGAAGCCCTGTGGATGTGGGCAGCTCTACGGCCATTATTCTAGCTCTACCCTGCTGATTCCCTTGCTATACCCACCCCCTAGCTCTCCTATGTGGATGCTGAAGGCAACCCTGTGGGCGTGGTACAAATGACCTTCCTGCGGCTGCTGAGTGCCTCCGCCCACCAGAACATCACCTACAACTGCTACCAGTCAGTGGCCTGGCAGGATGCCGCCACAGGCAGCTACGACAAGGCTATCCGCTTCTTGGGCTCCAACGATGAGGAGATGTCTTATGATAACAACCCCTACATCCGCGCCCTGGTGGACGGCTGTGCTGTGAGTATCACATGTGCCCGTGATGTCACCTTGTATGCCCCCCTTGAGTGCATTGTTGTACCTTCTGCGTACCATTCCCTGAATTGTATACTGGGGATGTGTTGGGGGCCAAATATGCCCCCAGCCTGGCCAATATCAGGGTGTAGCTGACTTGGACAGGTCCAGCTTGGAGTTTAGAGACCACTTCTACTTACGTAGCTCTTTTCTGGGCAGGGTGAGAACACAGACTGGGCACCTTGGTGTGCAAGGAAACGTGTCTGTATTTGTGTGTGTGCACTTATGTGTATTAGTATGTGGGGATGCCTGTGGATGGCACAAGTGATTGTCACTCCTGTAAAGTGACAAGATTTTTCACTGGCTTTAGCTTGCCAAGTAAGTTGAGCTGGCTGACCAGTGAACTATAGGAATCGGTAGCCTTCCCCTGCCACATACCCAAAGCACCAAGATTGCTGGCATGGTGCCACCATACCCAGCTTTTAGTTTAAGAATTTATTTAATTTTTATTTTATGTGTGTGAATGTTTTGCTCACATGTATATCTATGTACCACAAGAATGTCTGGTGCCCATGGAGACCAGAAAAGAGCACTGAATCCCCTGGAACTGGAGCCATGAATGGTGGTGAGCCTCCATGTAGGGGCTTGGGATTGAACCTAGGTCCTCTGCAAGAATACCAAGTGTTCTCTACCACTGAGCCATCTCTCTAGTCCTCATACCCAGCTTTTAAAATGTGGGTTCTAAGGATCATATTCTGGTCTTCATGCTTACATGGCAAGCACTTTGGTGACTGAAATGTCTCCCCAGCCCAGCACTGGATTTCTGAGCGGGGAGCCAATTCTGCCGAGGAGCTCTCTAAACACCTCCAATGGCAGGCTGACCCAAAGAGAGTGTGGAAGTGTAGAGCTAAATGCAAGCTCTCCTGACCATAGCCCACATCCTGACCAAGGCAGTCTTCTTATGGAGAGGGCTATTCTATCCACAACACAAGCATCATTATGAGCTGTGGCATCCTCAGCATCCGCGGATGCCGAGGCAAGTAAGTGTAAGATGACAGAAGTCCACTGGGCTAGAGAGCGAGAAGCAGCCCCCTCCTGTTTTTACTCCTGAAAGAAAATCCTGCCTTGGAAAAGGTGGGGAAATAATGGCTCAGAACAGAATAACTCGCTGATTGAAAAAACCTGGCTCTGTGTACTGGGGGAGGTGGGGACAGACAGACCGGCAGGACAGTGGGGCTCAAGGCAGTCCAAAGGGAACAGCAAGCAAGACTGGCTGGGTGGCCGACATGCTCTCCGCCCCCAAACCCTGGAGAAGTCCGGCCATGATTTGAAAGGTCACGATCCGCTCATTCAATTGCAGGGCTCCTTCAGGAGGTTTTTGTTCTCCACATGCAGACCAGTGGTGCCAAGGCCTGCCCAGCCCTGGGAGGCCGACTTGATTCATTTTGTAATCACAGCCACTGAAATTGGAATTCCAACGCTGGTATTGTGTGGCTGGGTAGCCTGATTGAGGGGGCTGCCAAGCGGCCGGCCCTGCGGAGGGGCCAGGAGTCACTCTACATCAATTCCGTTGTTTGTGCAGCTTTGTGCGCCCCTGGGGGGCCGTTGCTAGCTGGCAATGGTTATTTATGTCTCTTCTTTAATTGCGTCCCTCTCTAAGCGCTCTGATAATTGGAGCAACGGGGCCCCACAAATCCATGTGAAATCGCCTGCCAGCTCCACACACGGTGGTCCTCAGAGTAGGAGAGAAAGACCCACTCCATGCTAATGCCATAAAGGAAGGGAGTGGGGCCTGCTGTAAGCCTGTAGGTTCACGACTCACTGGTATACAAAAACGGAGATCCCATCACTGACTTCACATGGCTTCCCAAGATTATACCACCTTCCAGGGTCCAGGAGAAACCAGGCTGTTCACCTCGTGTAAGTCTGGGTTGAGGAGCAGGGCCTACATGGCAGGAGTAGCCAGTTCTGGCTCCCTAAACTGGCCAGGAGGATGAGGGTCTCAGCTAGCCCATAGCCAGCTTCATGAGTATGAAAGTCCAGCCCCTGAAGATTCCCAGATTTTTTTCCCCTTACTTTTTTTCTTGAGACAGAATTTATTTGTGTAGCCCTTGCCATCCTAGAACTCAATCTGTATGTCAGGCTGGCCTTGAACTCACAGATATCCACCTGCCTCTGCCTCCTGAGTTTTGGGGAAAGGCATGGGCCACCTTCCCTGTCTTTTTTTTCCTTTTATATTTTTTATGCGTGTGATGTACATGTTTGTGTCTATGCATGTTTTACATGTATAAGCACATATACGAATATACATGCACTTGTGTATATATATGCTCGCATGCAAGCTTGTTTGTGTGTATGTATGTGTGTGCATGTATGTATGTACACATGTAGAGCCCTAACATTGAAGTCTGTTGGGAATCATCAATATTAATCACTGGGGCAGTGTCTCTCAATCAAATGCAGAGCTCACTGATACGGTTTGTCTTGCTAGCTCACTTGCACGGGATCCCATCTCTGTCTTCCAATGCTGGAATTGCAGGTGGGCTGCCACATTTATATGTATTTGTAAGGGTTCAAACTTCTCTTCATATTTGCATAGTAAACATTTTAACACCTGAGCATCTCTCTAGCCCCCGGATATATCACAATGGTAAGTTTTAGGTGACCCTGGAAGCACAAGGGTATGACGACCCATCCCTGGCCAGAACAGCCCTCAAACTGGACCGTTTTCTAGTGCTGGGTTCCTGGTGGCAAGTTCCTTCTGTGTTCCTCAAAGGACAGCCAGAAAAGTATAGATCATAAAATCATCCAAGACTCCCATTGAAGAAAATTTTGCAGTTTCTGAATCCACTCCAAGTCAATCTGGATAGGCAGAACCTGCAGTATTCAAACGCTCCTGGGCCTCAGTGTGTCCCTAGCTTGGCTTTGAGCACAAGACAGAGGTGTCTTATCAGGACAGCTGTGGGTGGGCTGGGCCTGGGGCGAGTGGACGTTGAGAGCAGTGAAGACTGGACACTCGTACCGGGTAGAGAAGGCGCTGCCCACTCCCACACTCACCCCTGCACTCCCACACTCACCCCTGCACTCCCACACTAACCCCTGCACTCCCACACTCACCCCTGCACTCCCACACTCACCCCTGCACTCCAGCTGGAGATGTCAAGTAGCAGTGCTGTTGTAACGACTTAACCTGAGCTTAGCGATTTCACACAAAGACATTTACCAGTGCACTCAGGCCTGAGATCAGAGACCTAAGAGTGGCTTTCTCTGCAGCTATGGCTCAGGATAGCTTGGGTTGATTTGGCCATGACCACTAATGGCCATCACCTAAGTGGCTTACAAACCATGGGAGCTGCCCACAGTTCCGCAAGCAGGAAGTCCGAGGTTGGGGTCATCACCCCTGGGTTGTGTACAGTTGCCTTCTTGCATGTTATCACATGACAAAGACAGAGAAGGGAACCAGTCTCACTCATGAGGGGTCCAGGGGTTCATCCTCATGGTCCAATCTCCAAAGCTCAGCATCCCACAATCACCTTGAGCAACTGGGCTCCTATTTGGATTTGGGGTACCCATGGAGAGGAAGGCCCTGAAGCTGGGCACCAAACGTAAAAGATTCAGGACTGACCCAGGGTCAGTAGAGGACCCTCTGCTGGGCTGCATTCTGGCATGTTGTTCCCACAAAGGAAATGCCCATCTGCTTTCTCCTTGTGATTTCTCCAGGGCTTGTGCAGTAGAACGAGAGTCTTCCCAGGCCAGACACAGTTGCATGTAAATGCAGCCTACATCCATGATAGTGGAAGCCCTGGCATAGGACAGGTGGCCATTGGGTAGCCCAAGATTTGCGGTACAAAGGCAGACATTGGGCACCACTGAAGGAAGCTGACAGAGTGGGTGAAGCAGATTGTTCTTTGTGATAGATGTTCTTGACACCCAAAGTTAAGTTAAGCTTGCTTGGCGGTGGGGACAGAAGTACTCACATCCTCCCTATATTCTGGGCTGAGAGGGTTGACTCTGCTGGCCACTCCCTGCACCTGCCTGAGGCTCAGCCTGCTTTTCCTAAGAGAGCTTTGTCCTGCTCCGCTCAAAAGTGCTGATCTGATCACAGGAGGGCACAGACTGCTTGGGCCCTGCACCATCATGGCCCTTTTGTGCCTCAGTCTACCCAGTTCTCTCTGGAATAGGTAGTAAGGAAAGTTCCTTTGCCTGTCCAGGAGAGGCCTGGGATGGCAGCTCTTGTGTGAAGTCTTATAGGAAGTCCCATCACCTCTCTGCTTGGCCACGTTTCCTCCAACTTGCTGTTTTTGGTGGCTCAGGGAGTTGGTAGAGTCTTGGGGCAGAGGGGGTCCTGGGTCAGGGGTGGTAGGTGACCTAAACACCTTAATCACCGCACGAAGCCCCCGGCTTTAACTGCCTCCACCTTCTCCCCCCTTCCTAGACCAAGAAAGGCTACCAGAAAACGGTGCTGGAGATTGACACACCCAAAGTGGAGCAAGTCCCCATCGTGGACATCATGTTCAACGACTTTGGTGAAGCCTCACAGAAATTTGGATTTGAAGTGGGGCCAGCTTGCTTCCTGGGTTAGGAGCTGCTGAGCCCACCGGTCTTCAGAACAACCTCGTGACCTCAGCACCCCACCTGTGGGTGTCCTGTGCACGGCCCATCCTGGACAGTGAACGTTTCTCACCCCTGCCTGCCTGACTCATCTGTGCCTCGGAGGGAGGGACCCTCCGTGGCCTTGGACCCCACACCCAGAGAGAACCAAGGGAAAGAGCCGTGTCCCCCACGGAGCCGAATCACATGACCTAACCACACCACAGCCTCTTGCCACGCTGCAGGCCCTGGTCCCCAGCTCTCCTGATAGGTTCATCAAAGGCGTTCATGGACTGTTGGCAGGGAGTCAGGGTGGGGCAGTATTTGGGAATCACTTAAAAAGGTGCAACTTGAAGATATGTATTCCCCTTGACCTTCAAAAGATGCTCTGAGGTGATCTTAAAAAGGTCGCCAAAGCCTTCTTTTTTTTTTTTTAAACAACCCTCAACACATCCACTCAGAGGCCAAATGTCATTCCACACGTGCCTTTCCGATGGATTAAAGGTGCTTATGTTTTTGTGAGAGTTTTAAGTAAATATTTGTATTGTATTGTTATAAATGTTAAGTGTGCCTGGCTTTCAATCTTGCATGGAAACCCAGCCTCAGGCCCATGGGGAGAGCGGGCAGCTAGGATGGGGCACCAGCTTGGGCTTGCAATTCGGCTCTCTGTAGGGGGCATCTCCTCACTCCTCCCTCTCCCCACCCCCGCAAGAAAGTGCAATAAATTGGAAATTTGCTCAGTCAGCAAGAAGCTGCATCGCCACTGCAGGTGCCTGGGCCCTTTCCAGACTTTTAATTATTTTCTTTTCTTTTTGATTAGCTCTGGATAATTTTTTATGGGGAGGGAAAAATAGGCATTTGAGATCCTGCCTTTCCTACATGCACTCAGATTAAAACACAGGCTTAAATTAATCCTGATTGCTTCCTTTTTCCGTGTTTCTTCCTGCAGAGGCTGATGGGACAGTGTCCAGGGCTTGAGAACCACGTGTTCTGTAGATGATAAATAACTATGAACATTGGTGCTGATTTTTTTTTACACTTGTGTCTTGTGGTGCTACGTGTCCTAGAGGCCGCCTTAGGGTGCCTGCCGCGCCTCCTTCCCCCACCTGCCTTTATCCTGGCCGTTTTTCTGCATTCTGAGATTTTGCCAAGGACCTAAAGATCAGATCGGTGCCAAAGACCCTTCTTCCTTGAAGGCACCCCGTGCTCATGATGGTGGGGAGTCCTTCCTGAAGCCTGAGTCCCCTCCGGGTTCAGGTTATTTCATTTGAAAACACACGCGCAAAGCAAAGACTTCCCGCATGGTCCATTGCGTATCCATGATCGTGTTCAGTTGCTGATGTTCGTGGTGCTAATTTCTGTGTGCATGCCAAGGACGGGATGGAAGCCACTGGGTGCCCACGCTGATAGCCAGACTGCCCTGTGAGCAGCAGGTGGACTAGGAGATTTACGATGGACTTCGTGGCTCCAGGGCTGCTGTTTCGGTTTCCACCAGAGGGGTGTTCTGGGTGCCGGTGTCAGTTCTGGGGTCGGGATGGATCCCTCTGCATGCTGTCGTCTTCCTCCTCCTCCAAGGTGTGTGTGTGATGGAGAGGCTGCCTTCTGGGTGCAGAGGTCTCCAGGACCAGCAAGGGAAAAGAAAGGCTCACTGTGAGTCACACGCCTGTCATGCCTCTCCTTCCACCATGAGGAGGCTATGGTGCCCAGGGAGTCAGCCATCAGGCTCCGGTGCTCCTGTCCCCACCCCACCCCAAAGTGAAGGAAACCACAACGAAGCACCCGGGAGTGACCAGGATTGATGAATGCCACCAACAGGCATCCCCAGGTTTCCTCAAGAACAAGCTTTACTCTTGCCAAAGAAAAGCCCGGCCCGGAGGTTGCTCCTGAAAGCCAGGACGCCATCGTGAGCCAGGGACTGCTTGCTGTGCGTGCCTCTGCGTGAGAAAAGCCATATTGGAAGACGGCCATGTGATGCCCTGTGGATTCTGTGTAGGTCATGTGATTCGGTGTCTGCCTCTCTCCCCATCTGATTTACCCTTTCACCCTGTCCCATTCTTCCGTCAGTTCCCCTCCAAGTTGCAATTTGTATTGAAGTCCAAAATGTGTCCTGTTCTCCTCAGTCCACTTCACCTTCAATATTTTACAATAAAATTACTTCTTATATTTGCAGAAACGCTCCTGGCCTCATTTTTTATGCCTCTGGTGTGTGCTCTCTCTCCCTCTTTCTCCACATATATATAATTGGGCAAATAGTGGCGAAAATACACACAAAACCATAAACAGAACACTGTGATAAACTATAGGACCCTGGGTCCTTTAAAATTTCAGGCCAAAGGGTACGTTGTATATTTCCCAGAGGTCCAACTGGAAGCCTCAAAATTTCACTTCTCCACAGGAAGAGTGTTCGAAAATATTTTAAAACTGTGTACTAAAGGAATCCTTGTAACAGTGTCTCAATAAAGGAGTTTACTGTTTACACCCGAGACTTGACCTTTGTTTCCTTTGCATGGCCAGGCCCTCTGCCACCTGATGCTTCTGTTGGCTTACAGTCTCAGACATTAAGAACTATGAACTGGGGAGGGGTGGTCTAGGAGGGGTGGAGAATGGCTACCGGCTGTGACCTCATGTGGCTGTGGGCCCAGCTGTGGGCTGCTTTGTATCCATGAATGGGTATTAGGATGTAGCTGGTGCTGACTTCAGAGGCCTTACTTTTCACCCTGGACTTTTGACACCCTGAGGGGACGTGTCACCAAATCCATCAGGTGACACCTTTGCAACTAGATAATTAGATCAGGTCACACTCCTTTGCTGTTTGTGGCTAGAGGAGTCACATGTGGTTCACCTCAGCCAATGACCTTCATTCAGCATGTACCTTCATTCAACGTGTATCTCCTGCTTCTGAAGGAGCGACTCTTTTGTATGTTAGCAGTCGTGGCAACATTCCTGCAGGTTCTGGTGTCACAGCCACCGGACTCTCAGGAACGTGTACCATCACTCCCGGAAGCAGGTTCTGCTACTTTGAGGCCCCTCAAGGGGATGCCTGTTACCACCGAGCCCCAGGCCAGAGGATCTCAGTGTGGTTCGCAGCCCCACGGCGGCAGGCGGCATACCACTCTGCTCTTTAGGCGGGCTGCTAGGAAGCCTGGGTGTCTGTTTCTGCCAAGGTGATTCACAGACTGGGTCATTTGAGAGTACTGTCCTGATGACCCCTGAACTGTGAAGGACTTGGTCCTGGAAAGGAGGCCGCCCTTTCTCAGCCTAAAGCTGATGACAGTCACACAGGCAGGCCATTGAGTATCACAGATACCTAGAAAGCTCCAAGGCTTGGAAGTGAATGATGAGGTAATATCCTGAGGAAAACAGCCCTGAACTGTGGAAAGCAAAGCCTCTGGAGTTGAGGATTCGCAGGACTGGATGAAATAGCCAGTTGAGAAAAGCTCTGGGGGACACGCCCATCAGAACTTGGCCACTGTGGCTCAGCAGCTGGAATTTAGGCTTGGAGTGGGAGCAGATGGCACCAGATACAGCCTGCGGGTTGCAGTGAGTGACTCGGGAAAGGGACACCAATGACTTGACACTGTCAAAGGCTGGCAGATGTAAGAGCCCCACAGGAGAAGAGGAGGTCCGCGGAGCCATGGCGGGAGGTGCCACTGGTGGGGCCTCAGGAATGCACGGGTGGAAAGCTGGCTGCGAAGAGATGGGATTCACAGAAATGGCCTCCAGCGGGGTCGGTGGGAGCTGATGAAGTCTTGCAGTGTCCCTTGATCTCGGACCCGTATGAAGCAGCACACAGCAAAAAAAAAAAAAAAAAAAAAAAAAAAAACACGACCCGGCTCACCTCCCTGGGAACTGCACCTGCAGGTTAGACACTTTGAGGGCAGAGCCTCCTCCAGACAAGAGTGGGCCAGCTTTCTGGATGAGAATGGGAGGCCAGGAGCCCACTGGGGCTGCTCCAGGCCTATTTTAGGGTGCTCATAAACCTGTGCTCAGCCCCAGACCTCGAGAGACAGAGTGGCTTCTAACAGTTGATTTAGCATTATAGTCCCACCACCAAGGTTAGGGGTCCCCAGCCTGAGGGCTCTCCTCCTGGGTTAAGTTCTAGAACCATCTAAGGAACTTAGTTGTGGGTTTGGGAACCACTGGAACAGCGACACTCCTGGCTTCTCCAAGGGACCTTTGGCTCTGGTGCACACAGAGGCATGGTCCATGAACTCATTTTCTAAGCCAAATCCACTAAGGCTCGGGAAGAGCATAGGGTCCCACGGAGGCCACAATTGTCTCTACTCCTGACTCCCGGGCCAAGTTTCAAAGGATCCCCTAATAGGTTGCTGTGCCCAAACGATAGGTTTCTCTGCAGATGCAGTAAACCAGATCAAGACAAATTAAAAAGTAAAGAACCGGGTTTGTCTGGACAAAGCACTCCTGGGTGTACAAAGCACTCTTGAGCCCCAACCCAGAGATGAGGTGGGGGGAAGGGGACAGGAGAGAAATCGCATGACCGATCTGAAGGAGGGGTCCTAAATACCCTGTAGACACGGGGTGATGATGCATCCTTCACAAGCTGTTGGTGCCCAAAATTACAGTCAGTGGGGTCTTGAGCAGTTAGCAGCTTTTGTGGTGGGGTGTGTGTGGGGGGGGGAGTGCCTCTGCAGTAAGGAGTGCAGAGCTGGACTTTTGGCCGCTTTTCTGAGAGGGTGGGGTTTGGAGATAGAGAATTGGGGCTGAGCTGTAAACTCCAGCAGAATGTTCCCTCCATCTCTTCCTCCTCAACTTGCTCAAAGAAACAGCTAGAGGCTAGAGCCCTGACTAGGTAGGCCCTCTGTGATCCTCACCGCCTTTGCTGCCTCGAAACAAAGCCTCTCTGTGAGACTCTTGGATTGGGAATGGCCAGCTGACTCTCTCTGAATGATTGAACAGCTGGACACTATGTAGGGTGTTGGAACCTCCCTGCCCTGCCATGGTGTGGGTGGGGATACCCCCACCCCCAGCAGGAATCCAGGCTAGATCACCAGCTTGGCTGCAGGGAGTTTCGATCTTGGAAAACGCCAGCTCAGCTCTTCGCCCTGTCCCTCCCTCAACCTGTGGAAACCAGCACATTGGGATGCAAGGCCCAGGCTTCCATCCGCTCCCTGTCTTCCCAAACATGAGCCATGAGCATCTGCCACTGCCTGCACCACACTCACGGGACTCCTGTCAGGCACCGGGTCTGTTCTAGGCCCCAGGCAGGAAGACGTCCCTCCCCAGCCGCATCCCAGGAGTAAACCCTTCACAGGAGCCACACTTGTGTCCTCCCATAGGCATGCTGCATCCCTTCTTTCCATATTGACAAGGGGGAATCACGTCAGTTTGGGAGACATCTAGTCTCCAGGCATATGTTGTGAGCCAACATGCTCAGCTGTGCAAGAATCCATTGCCTTCTGGGACGTCCTCAAATTCGTTTCAAACTAGAAGCCTCTGCCCAGAGAGCCTTTTCAGGGTCGAAGCCATTAAGAGGACTCTTCCCCCTCTGTGTCCGTGGGACTCACTGTGGGGTAACCCAGGACACGAAGACATAGAGGTGTGAGACAGCTCATAGCTTCACCCCACAGCTTTTGGAAAGAGCTTCAGCAGGCCTTGAGGTCCAGGGTCTCGCCTGGCATTGCAATCAGGTGCCTGTGGTGTCCAGGTCTTTTTCATAGGGTTGACCAGATGACCACAGAAGGCCCTACTTCCTAGTGCCCTTGGCGGCGGCAGGATTCAAGTCCTTGGATGCTGTTGATTGGCAGCCATTGCTGACCTTTCTCATGGGCAGTCTCTCCAGTGTGGTAACCTACTTCATTACACTGGTGAGGGTAAAGTACTGTGTTCTGGATCTAAAATAGCCTGCACAGGCTGTGTATTAAGGTCTGGACACCAGCCTGTGGCATTACTGGGAGGTGGTGGAACCCCAGGAAGTGGAACGTAATGAGAAGTTAGGTTATTGGGGATGTGCCCCTGAAAGGGGTATTGGGATCCCAGCCTCTTCCTGCCTCTGCTTTTCTGTTGCCATGGTACTAGGCTTCCCTCTCTCACACTTCCACCTCTGAGACACACAGTGACCTCATAGGCTCCACATCTCCCAGGGAAGTGACCGTGAAGCCCTGGAAGCTGAAGATTGATCTTCTCAGGCATTCTATCACAGCAACAAAACTGGTGGACACAGCCACCTTCATCCAGGATGGAATCTGAGTGTGAAACAAGGCCCGAGAAGGAAATGGCGGAGCGGAAGCCTTCTTACTGCTGCAGGCCCGTTTGCTGGGGTTTCTTCTTTCTCCCTTGCCAGGAGGGCCTTACATCCCTCCTTGCCTGAGACTCTAGCGGATGCTGCCCTGGCTGAAGAAGACCAGAGCTAGATGGTAGCTTTTCCCACTCTAACTGACAGCACAGGGTCTTCTGGTACCCAGGACAAAGAATTATTTGAGGGAACAAGTTGACAGATTAATGAAGGAGTCTATGCCCGGCTGGGAAAGGCGATGGAACTGGGACTTAGGGACAGAAATGCGCTGCAGTTGGATGGCAGCAGTTCCCACCCAAAGGCAGTGTTGGTGAGTCCCAGGAGGCCACACAGGATACTGGGCACAGGTAAAGCGTGGCAGTGCTTGGGCCACTTCTGTGCTTTTAGTTTATCCCAGCTTTCCACGGTTCTGACAAAATACCTGAGAAGATCAACGCATGAAGAGGAAAGGTTTATTTGGCTCCCATCTTGGAAGGTTCCATTTCACAGCAAAAGGGACATTGGGGAAGGGTTTTGAGGACAAAGGGATGTTTTGGTGGGGAGCATGGCTACGAGGGTGGGCTTGGTGTAGGGGATAGGCCTGGGGTGGGGCACAGAGGCCATTTGGAAGATAATTGGAAAGGACAGTGAAATACAGAGTTTCTTAATGGAGGCTTGGACATCACATGCTTTTATATCAATATCTGGATGGGCCAAGGGTGGATGTAATGTCTATGTGATTCAAGATCAGCTGTCACACACCCGTGCAGCCAAACTCCCCTAGACCTAATCTTTCCATGGTCTCCATCCACTGTCCTCTGGTGCCCTGGTCTTTTTATTGTGTCTGGAATCCTCCAAGGTTTTGCCTCTTTCTGTAGACTTCACCCCTAATATTGCAGATCTGAGTCCCACCTCTCACCTATCACTTTGCAGAGCCGGGGTTGTGAACACCCACTCGGAAGGCTGCTTGTGTCTGTCTTTGCAATGTGATGAACAGCGATTTTGCTTCATAGGAGAGCGTACTGAGGACTCAGAGAGGCAAACGCAGAGGTTACTCTTTTGCTTTGTGACGTCAGATGTCAGGAAAAAAGCAAAATGGACAACACACCAATTTAGTACTGATCAGGAGAAATTCCACCCCTACCTCCCCATCCTCCCGGGGCTCCAGGTTGACCCTACCCCTCCATTTCCTGGTACATGGGTTCTGAGAGTCTGGTCACAGAGCAGACACTGAGATAAACTAAAATACAT